AGAACAGCTGGGACAGTACCCACATGGGATGCCAGCATTGCAGGTGGAGGTTTACAAATTACACCACAATGCCAGCAGCCCCAAAAGATTTTTTTAAGATTTATTTATTAAAGATTTATTTATTTAAAATTTATTATTTATTTGAAAGGCAGAGTTACAGAGAGGAAGAGGCAGAGAGAGAGAGAGAGAGAGAGAGAGATCTTCCATCTGCTAGTTCACTCCCTAAATGGCCACAATGGCTAGGGCTGGGCTGATCTGAAGCCAGGAGCCAGGGGCTTCTTCTGGGTCTCCAATGTGTGTGCAGGGTCCCAAGGACTTGGGCCATCATCTACTACCTTCCCAGGCCATTATCGGAGAGCTGAATCAGAAATGGAGCAGCTGGGACTTGGACCAGCGCCCATATGGGATGGGCTTTACCTGCTATGCCACAGTGTGGGCCCCCATAGGTTTTTTTTTTTTTTTTTTTAAGGTTGATTTATTTATTGAAAGGTAGAGTATCAGAGGGGAAGACAGATCTTTCACCCACTGATCCTATGCATTTTCAATTTTTTTTCATCTTACGATGGGTTTATTGGGATATAACTCCATTTTAAGTCAGGAGAAACTTACCTGTCAAATAATAGTAAAGGTCTTTGGGATTGGGCATTTTGGTGCAGCCTGTTAAGCCTCCCCTTGGATGCCCCAAGGGGAGCATGTCAGAGTGCTGGTTAGAATCCTGCCTACTCTGCTTCTGACTCAGCCCCCTGCTAATGGGCCTTGGAAGCAGCAGATGATGGCCCAGGTACTTGGGTTCCTGTCAACCACAAGGGAGACCTGGATGGAGTTCCTGGCTCCTGGCTTCAGCCTGGCCCAGTCCTGGCTGCTGTGGACAGTTGAGGAGTGGGCCAGTGGATGAAAGACCTCTCTGTCACTCTGCCTTTCAGATAAGTAAATAAATCTTTAAAAAATAAAAATATAAAGATCCTTCCTCATAAGATTGTTGTGAGGACTTGATGACTATGTTCATATGTATTTTTTGAATGTCCATGAAGATCTCTGTATTTCATTACTGAAAAACACAAATTTGTGGAAAGTAGAAAGAAAACAACCCACGATCTTCATACTACCTACAGAAAACTGCTGTGAATCTTCTGATACATTTTTTTTTTACTGTTAAAAATGTAGGATTAATGATCTTTCTGTAATTTTACTCCCTAGAGTCTCATTTAAGGCTCATTCTGGGGGCAGGTGTTTGGTGCAGTGATTAGGATGCTGCTTGGGATGCCTGAGTACCCACCATATTGGAGTGCCTTGTTAGAGCCCCGGCCTCACCACCTTCCAACTTCCATTTTATACATGTTTAGAATGGAGGAGAATGCCAGGCACACACTGCTGTGTTTGCTGCCTGTGTGACTCCCTGCAGCTTGGTTAAACTCTTAGGCTGGCAGTCCTAGGAAGAGCACCTTGAAGAGGGCAAACCAGAGGTGTGGGCAGGAGATGGAAGAGCATGGCTTGCCACACACTTCCCCACCCATCATAACCCAGGTCCATAAGGAGAGTTGGGTCTGGCCCTGGGTTGCTGCTGAATAAGTCTGAAAGTGCTTGGGCAGGAACTGGCCCCTGTGGCAGCCAGGTAAGACCTATTAATTCTGGCACCTGCATGGCTGCTTCAATGAGGGTGGCCCACCAGAGCCATCCACAGAAGTGCCCGTATACTCTGTATGTGAGTCCTGACCCCGCAGAGAGAACAGTTCCGTAGATGTGCAACCTGACCAACCAGCCAGCCTGCTCCTAAGGTGGCACCTGCCCAGATCTCCCTGAGGGGCAAGGCCACACACGGGAACCTGTGCTGAAGAACCTGCTAGGCTGGAGCAGCTGCAAGCAGAAGCAAGGGGGCCTATTTTCAGTCTTCTGCTTGGTAACATTGTATTCCTGTTTCCAGGCTCTTTGTTTTCTTTCTAACAACCTCAATTAAGTGAATCCTTTGCTTTTCTAGCATTTGAGTACTTCAGCTGGTTTTGGACTTTCACTACAGGAGTTCACTCTCTTCATGACACGTTCTACGAGGAGTGTCAGGCTCACACGTCTCCAAAGAGCAGCAGGTGGCACAGGTACGTGAAGTGGGCTGGGCAAGGCCACTGAGCATGCTGGCAACCAGTTGCAAGGGGCAGCCCATGGGAAGGGGTTTCAGCCAGTTGCCAGGCTGGAATGGAGACCCTCTGTCACACATCTTTCCTCTTCTCAGAAAGTGAGTCTGGATTTTTAAAAAATTATTTGTTTATTTGATGGGGAGGAGAGGGGTAACTTCCATCTACTGGTTCACTCCCCAAAGGACCAGGGCTGAGCCAGGCCAGGAATTCAGTCCACACCTCCCATGTGAAAGGGAGGGACCCAATTACCAGAGCCATCAATGCTGCCTCCAAGAGTCTGCATTAACAGAAGCTGGAGTCAGGAATCGAACCCAGGCACTCTGATGGGGATACAAGCATCCCAGCTGGTATGTTGTTAGGCTAAATGCATACCTAAAAGTCTGGATTTTATGAAAAATCTTTTTATTTTAAAGATGTTAATTATTTGAAAGAGTGACAGAGAGGAGAGAGAGAGAGAGAGACAGAGAGAGAGATGGAGAGATTGAGACTGAGATTCCATCTGTTGGTTCACTCCTCAAATGGCTGCAATGGTTGGAGCTGAGCCAGGCTGACACTAGGAACCAGAAACTCCGTTCAGGTCCTCCATGTTGGTGGCAGGAGCTCAAGTACTTGAGCCATCTAGTGCCTTTGCTGGTGCAGTACAGGGAGCTGGATCAGCAGTGCAGCAGCTGGGACTCAAAACTATTGCTCCGAGAAGGGCTGCTGGCATTGAAAGCAGCAGTTCAATGCACTGCACCATGACTCCAGCTCTGGAAATCTTTTTAATCTAATAACTGCTACATAAATAGCACCTGTATTCAAAAATCATCCAAAACCCAAGCATCTCTTGACTAACGGATCGACAAACTATGCACATGCATGCAATGGAACTGTGCTCAGCAAGAAAGGAAAAGAAGAAATGAATTATGGATACAGTGATGGCGGGTGAATCTCAGATGCGTTACTGACCAAGATGGAAGAGCAGGGACTGGATTTTCCCTCTCACCTGAGAGAACCCAAAAATTAGGGGGGTGGTGAATATAAGTGAAACAATATTTTGAAGAAATGACATCAGTTAACAGACTGGGACTCTAACCACCACTCTGATAAGGTAGCTACGGCCCGTGCGCTGCGCGGATCCGAAGCCAGGAGCCAGGTGCTTCCTCCTGGTCTCCCATGGGGTGCAGGGCCCAAGCACTTGGGCCATCCTCCACTGCACTCCCAGGCCACAGCAGAGCTGGCCTGGAAGAGGGGCAGCAGGGACAGAATCCAGCGCCCCAACCGGGGGTAGAACCTCGGGTGCCAACGCCACAGGTGGAGGATTAGGCAAGTGAGCCGCAGCATCAGTCAACCCCTCGCCGTGTCTTAACCACTACATCAAATGGCTCCCTCAGTAAGCATTTTTTCCCCAATAAATATTTTAAATAAGAGTCTTCCCCTTTCAGTTTTTGACTCCAGTGTTACACCCTGAAAACGACTTATCTGGAGGTGGAAACCAACTTCATACACTTGAGTGTTTCCACCTCCAGGCTCTGACACTTACTCGCAATAAAGCGTGGGTTTTTTTTTTTGGTGTTTTTTTTTTTTTTTTTTTTTTTTTTTTTCTGACACGCATAGTGGACAGTGAGAGAGACAGAGAGAAAGGTCTTCCTTTTCCCTCCAATGGCCGCCGCTGCCGGTGCACCACGCTGATCCAATGGCAGGAGCCAGGAGCCAGGTGCTTTTCCTGGTCTCCCATGGGGTGCAGGGCCCAAGCACCTGGGCCATCCTCCACTGCACTCCCTGGCCACAGCAGAGAGCTGGCCTGGAAGAGGGGCAACTGGGACAAAATCTGGCACCCCGACCGGGACTAGAACCCAGTGTGCCGGCACCGCAGGTGGAGGATTAGCCGAGTGAGCCGCGGCGTGGGCCCCCAATAAATATTTAAAATAAGTGACTTCCCCTTTCAGTTTTTGACTCCAGCGTTAGACCCTGAAAACGACTTATCTGGAGGTGGAAACCAACTTCATACACTTGAGTGTTTCCACGCCCAGGCTCTGACACTTACTTGCAATAAAGCGTTTCTGAATTTGATTGCTGTACACACAACCCACCACTGAGCTTTGGGAACCTCTGATTTATTCATTAATAGGGCTCTGGTTTAGGAGCCAGAGGGTTTTTGTAATTTAATTTAATTGGGAGACAGAAAGAAATCTTCCATCCGCTGGTTCACTCCCCTAAATACCTGTGAGACAGCCCTGGCTAGGTTGGGGCCAAAGCTGGGAGCCCGGAGCCCGATGCAGCTCTCCCACGTGGGCAGCAGGAACCCAGGTGCTCTGAGGTGGGACACAGGCTGATACACCTGAGCCGAGGCTTGCGGGACGAGAGAGAGGCCGGCATGTGTGGATTTAGAGGCTGGAAGGCCGGGCTGGGGGGCAGGCCCTGGGATCCCTGAGCTCCGAGGCCGAGTGACACCAGGATGCATTCGCTGCAGTAGTAATAAGGGCGGCGTGAGGAGTCAGGGCCCTGCCTGAACGTCCCCTCCGGGCCCCGACCTTGCGGGACCGTCAGGGTCAGCGCCAGCATTCCAGGCCCCTGGCTTTGGCTCCAGTCAGGCGAGGTGAGAGGCTGGGTCCCCCAAATCTCCTGTCTTCTCCCTCTCACCGCGTAAATGCCCCCAAGCCACAACCCCGAACAAACAAGCTCTGCAAATGCTGCTGGGGAGCTCGTGGAAGGCGCAGATGCTGCAGGGGCGGAAGTCATCTCCAGGGTGGGCAGCGACCGACACAGCTCAGACCTACAAAACCCGTACCGTGCCCCCATGGGGGGCCGACGGCGCGCGGAGACGACTGCGCACGCGCGGCCCCGCCTCTCGGGCGTGGGGCGGGGCGTGCGCGAGGGCGGGGCGGGGCGGAGCCCCGTGACGGCGCTGCGCGCGTGGCTTCGGCTGCGCAGGAACAGCTGGTGCCTCAGAAGGCGGCCCGCGGGCGCGCGGGCGTGAGGTGCCGGTGGCCGGCCGGGCCACGCTGCGGGAGCAGCCGCCGCCGCCGCAGCCGCCGCCGCGTTGCACCACTGCGCCATGTCCGGGCAGCTGGAGCGCTGCGAGTCCGAGTGGCACGAGCTGGAGGGAGAATTTCAGGAATTGCAGGTAGGGCCGGGCTACCTGGTCTCGCGGGGCAGAGCCTGGTTCTTCCAGCTCCCCCCCACCCGGGGCGTGGGAACCCCAGGGCCCAGGGGCTGCCCCAGGCCAGGCCCTGAGGACTGGTGGTCGGCGTGGACCGGTCGCCTCCCACCCGCCACGCTTCACTTCTTCATCCACGTGGGGCGCCCGCCCAGAGCCCCCCTGCGCCCGCCCTCTCACCCGCTCCGTGCTCCGCGCGCCTTCCGCGCTGCAGAAAGTTGGTCGGTGGTCTCCGAGGGCGCGTTGCTTGCGGGCCTGAGTGGAGGCAGCCTGAGGGGCCCTGGGGGTGCTGGGCTCTGCAGGGCGGGGGTCTCCTTACGCTCCCCTTCCCCCAAGCCTGCCTCTCCGCTGGCGGTGCAGCTCTGCCCTCCCGCTGCCCCGTTTGGGAGTTGTGCTTCGGAGCCGTTCTCCTTGAAGCTCCCGCCCGGCTTTGCTCGCCGCTCGGGCACCCCTGGGGGACCCCGCTTCCTCGCCTCTGGGGGCTCTGGGGTGCTGCGGGCCGGGCCTGGCGTTGAGGTTGACGTCCGTCAGTTCTGACAGTTGAGAAGCTTCCCTGGGTGATGGAGGCTGCTCCCGGCCCTCCCCTTCTGGCCCAGAGCTTTACACGGAATGGGGGTGAGGGCTGACGTCAGAGTAGTCCTTACAGAGAATGACCGGGTCCTGGCCGGAGGCTCGGAGAGGCCTCAAGCTACCTACTCCGGTGGCTTGAGACGGGGCCAGCGGTCTGTGGGCTCTGCTTGCCTGAAATCGCTGTGCTCACCTTCAGCCCACGCCTCCCGTCCTCAGCTGGAGCAGTGACATTTCCTGGCCTTGTAACGCCTCTGCCGCGTTCAGAGCAGGAGAGGCGAGCTGCCCGAGGTGGACACCAGGTTACAGGTCCCAAGAAGACACAGCGGCACTGGGGAGACTGAGCAGCGGGGAGGGGGGAGCTTAGGGCTCTCATCCTTTTCTTGGCTTGTCCAGAGGGCATAGGTTGGAGCCCCCTCCTTTAGGTCCAGGGCTGGGGGGGGGTGGGAGTGCGACCCAGGTCCCAGGGGACCCTTTTGGCTCCACCCCTGTGGAGAAGACCCAGGACCCATGGAAGTTGCTGTGTGGAGCTTCTGTTGGGCGTAATTCTTTCCCCTTGCCCTGCTAAAGACTGGGAGGAGGAGGTGGAGGCACTTGCCGGTTCACAGCTATGCGATTAATGCAGTTAGCAATAATTAGATAGCAAGTCTTGGCAAGCAGAGGCCGCAGAGATGTTTGGTTTGTTGTGTTCCTGCTCGGTGTCCCAGATGCCCAGGTGTGTTGGGCAGAGGAACTTGGAAATAAGTCTGGATGTTGTCCCCTGGTGCATAGCAAGGGTTATAGACGGGCTGGCCGAGTGAAAACCACTGTTGCTCGCTCAGTTCTTTTGAGACGGGATGGACCGGACCCTGCTTCAGGGAGGTGAGACCCTGTTGGCTGCAGGCTTTGGTAGTCAACTGTCGGGGCAGAGGATCGACTCAAACCCAAGTGGCCTCTGGGGCAAAAACACCGTCTTCATCTTCAGTTCACAAACGAGGATACCGAAGCTCAGATGTGCTGAGTTCACACAGCTATTCAGTGGTGATCCTGGGATTAGAACCTAGTTTCCTAAACGCTGGGATGTCCCTGGCTGTCTTCTTGCGTGTGAGAGCTCCGAACTCAAGGCATGAGTCTCTGACAATATGCATATAATAAAGAGGGTGTGTGCTCTGCTCATGTTGCGCAGTTTCAGATAGGAGGCACTTCTTGGGAACAAGGAGGTGACAGCTGGCAGGCAGGTGGGCAGACTGGAACTGGAAATGTTAACACAAAGGACTTTTATTTCCGCTGGAAAATCCCCATCTATCTTAATTTTACCACATCTGCCTTAGAATCTGGGATTCCTGTTTGTGTGTCTCTGATTTTGGGGTGATGTATAATGTCTCTCTCTATTTTTTTTTTTTTTTAAGAATTATTTTATTTCTTTGAAAGACAGAGTTACAGAGAGAGACAGAGCCAGAGAGAGAGATAGGTTTTCCATTCTGCTGGTTCACTCCCCAAATGACTGCAATGGCCAGATCTGAGCTGATCCGGAGCCAGGAGCTTCTTCCACGTCACCCACACGGGTGCAGGGGCCCAAGGACCTGGGCCATCTTCTGCTTTCCCAGGCCATAGCAGAGAGCTGAATTGGAAGAGGAGCAGCTGGGACATGAACCAGTGCCCATATGGGTTGGCAGCGCTGCAGGCTGGGGCTTTAAGCCACTGCACCACAGTGCCGGCCCCTTGTCTCTGGGTTTTACCTGTACTTCAGCCACCCCCCACCCCCTTTTAAAATTTTTGAAAACATTTTTTGTTAATTTTACATTTATTTGAAAGAGATTTTTCGAAAGTTTATTTTCATTTGATTTGAAAGAGCGGAAAGAGAGAAAGGAAGAGAGAGAGAGAGAGAGAGAAAGAAAGAAAGAATCTTCCATCTGCTGGGTCACTCCTCAAATGCCTGCAACAGCCAGGGCTGGGCCAGGCCAAACCTAGGAGGCTGGAACTCCATCTGGATAACAGGGACTCAAGTACTTGAGCCGTCCTGTACTATCCCTCAGGGTGTGCATTAGCAGGAAGCTGGATGGGAAGCAGAGCTGGCACTGGAGCCAGACTGATGTGGGATGCCGGCGTGAACTGCTGTACCAGGTGCCCTCCTCATCCTTCCCTTTTATAAATGAGGGAGAGCAGAAACATAATTCTCAGAGCCTGAAGGATCTGGAGGGTCCTTGGAATTCCAGTTCCTTCTCTGCCAAAACAAACACACAAACAAATGCGACTCACTAGGCTAATCCTCCACCTATGGCACCGGCACACCAGGTTCTAGTCCCAGTCGGGGCACTGGATTCTGTCCTGGTCACTCCTCTTCCAGTCCAGCTCTCTGCTGTGGCCTGGGAGTGCAGTGGAGGATGGCCCAGGTACTTGGGCCCTGCACCCGCATGGGAGACCGGGAGAGGCACTTGGCTCCTGGCTTTGGATCAGCGCGGTGCGCTGGCTGCAGTGGCCATTGGGGGGGTGAACCGATGGAAAAGGAAGACCTTTCTCTCTGTCTCTCTCTCTCACTGTCCACTCTGTCAAAAACAAACAAAAAAACCTCAGCATAATCTCTGGAACTTTCTAGAGGAAAGGATCACTTTTCTTTGGACTGTGATTGGTATCTGTCAGAGACTTGCTGGAGTCCATTGGGACTCCATGAAGACTTCGTTGTTGAGTGGCTGTGGTTTTGGTCAGGCTGGTAAATGGAGCATCAGCCTGAGACCAGCTTGTGCTTTGCCCTCTGGCCTGTGGTGTGACCGTGGAAGGTCACTTTACAGACACCGTAGCAGGTGATTTAGTGAGTATTTTGTGATTTACCTCGCTGGAAACCTGCCTGTCCCTCCCAACCTAGGATGAAGGGGGTCCAGAGCAGCTTTCCCCAAGCCTGACCTCAGATGGATGCAGGGGCTTTGGTGGCCATGGTAAAGATTCTGACTTTCTGGAGTTAGAAACGTGCCAGGGGATTCCAATACAATCCCATCAAGGTGGCATGTACCAATGCCATCTCACTAGTCCAAGTGATCAACTTCAGTTCACAGTTGATCACACTGATAGGTCTAAGAGTCAAAGGGATCACACAAACAAGACTAGTGTCTGCTAATACTGACTGATAGAATCAAAAAGGGAGAGAACGATCCAACATGGGAAGCGGGATACACAGCAGACTCATAGAATGGCAGATGTCCTAAATAGCACTCTGGCCTCAGAATCAGCCCTTAAGGCATTTGGATCTGGCTGAAGAGCCAATGAGAGTATTTTAGGCATGGAAAGCCAAGACACTCTGGGGAAAAAAAAAAAAAAAAACCTAAATGAAAGATCTCTGCGAGTGAGATCCCAGTGGAAAGAATTGGGCCATCAAAGGAGGAGGTACCTTTCTCTGAAAGGAGGAGAGAACTTCAACTTTGACTATGACCCTGCCGGAATAAGATCTAAGTCGGAGAACCCAAAAGGCTTCCATAGCCTTGGCAACTCATGACTAGAGCCTAGGGAGATTACGGACACCATAAACAAGAGTGTCAAATTGTTAAGTCAACAACAGGAGTCACTGTGTACTTACTTCTCATGTGGGATCTGTCCTTAATATGTTGTCCAACGTGAAGTAATGCTATAACTAGTACTGAAACAGTGTTTTTACACTTTGTGTTTCTGTGTGGGTGCAAACTGATGAAATCTTTACTTAATATATACTGAATCGATCTTCTGTATATAAAGATAATTAAAAATGAATCTTGATGTGAATGGAATGGGAGAGGGAGCGGGAGATGGGAGGGGTGCCAGTGGGAGGGAAATTATGGGGGGGAAGCCAATGTAATCCATAAACTGTACTTTGGAAATTTATATTTACTAAATAAAAAAAAAAGAGTTGTCAAAAAAAAAAATATTCTGACTTTCCCTGTGAATTAAATGGGCATCCTCTGGCTGCTGTGTGTAGGGCAGACACCGTGGAGGCGGCCTAAGAGCCAGCAGATCCGCATGATTTCATTAGAACCTTTGGATCCCCATTTTACAGAGGTTAAGTGTGTTACTCAAGGTCACGTGCAGATAAGTGCTGGAGCCAGGAGATTTTTTTTTTCTTTTTTTGTTAAGGTTTATCTATTTACTTGAAAGGCAGAGTTATAGAGAGAAAGGGAGAGAGATCTTCATTCACTGCTTCACTCCCCAGATGGTTGCAGTGGCCAGAGCTGGGCTGGTCTGAAGCTAGGAGCCAAGAGCCAGGAGCTTCCTCTGAGACTCCCATGGAGGTACAGGGACCCAACCACTTGGGCCATCTTCTGCTGCTTTCCCAGGAGCATTTACAGGGGACTGGATTGGAAATGGAGTAGCCAGGAGTCCGTATGGGATGTCAGCTTCCCTCCCAGGTGGCAACTTTACCCACTATGCCACAATGCCAGATCCTGGAGCCAGGAGTT